ACCCCTGCATGGGGTGCTAGTTCGAACATGTGGGAGGGGTTTCTCCCTGGCTCTAGAAAGAAACCAAGAAGTTAAGTTCTGAATGCAATCCTGCCAGCCTTGGAGAAACCATGCAGTAGAACTCGAAGGATGAAGCTTCTTTGGGTGTAGTTTCCTTTTACTCCAGATCCGTAGGCATGTCTGTCTGAGGCTAGTGAATTAACCTCTTTCAGTCAGCTCACTTTTGCAGCCATCTTAACCACTGCTTCCTGCACAATTGATTTGAATCAACTGCACAGTCAGTGCAATGTCTCATTAAAATTGGTTGAAAACAATGAATTAGAATTTTCTTTTCTTTTTTTTTTTTTTGCTACCTGTGTCTTGGCAGACTAGAACTGTGGGTAAGCTCTTGGTATCTTAGCAGCAGATTCCCCGAAATGAATGTGCATCTGAGTCTTGGGTAGGGTTGGAGGAGGGTGAAAAGGGACAGATGTGGAGGCCTTCTTGGCTTGGGGCAGGGTGAGAAATTAATATGAAGACAGTGGGCAAGGTGACCAGCGAGGGTTGTCAAAGTCTGGAGGTTTTTGAACAGTGTGTGCATGGTACATGTACATGTTACAGTTTGAAACTCATCTTGCTTGTGCCAGGTGAGCAGAGCTCATTTGTTGAACTAATGCATCCATGTCCGTGTACATGCAAGAATCAGGACAAAATCAAGCCTGTGGGTAAGTCTGGGCAATGCCGCTTGGTTCCATCAGTGTTGGCCATCAACTGCTCACTCAGTGGCTTTCCTCTCTCTGCTATCTTTGCATCTTTCTGTCTTCCTGCAATCCTTCCCCTAATCCCTCCTCTCTAAGCCTTCTCAAATCCTTCCACAATTTCCCAGCTTTCCCTACATGCATTTTTTTTTAAACTCAAGAAAAACACACAAGGCTAAGACCTTCAGTCCAAAGCAATCCCTTTTTGTTTTTTATCTTTTCCTTCCAATTACTATATTTGAAGTAAAAAAAAAATGACTGTTTAGATCAATTCACTATAGGGAGCCCACAGTACCTCCAAAAATCAAGTGTTCGCGTGGATTTGACAATTCATCGCCCAAGCACCCAGGAAGAGTTTCCTCACCCATCAGCCAGCACTATGATACTGTTTCTGCAGTTATGTGACCTACAAGGGAAAACAGCTCTTTGGGGTTTGTATTTAATTTCTGGAGGGAGAAAGAGTAAAACAAAGTATTCCCTTGACTTCCTCTAGAAATAAGCAGGGAAATCAAAGATGAAGGACCCTGTTGACGAGTGGACTCCTAATACTTTCACTGTTTCCTGATGATATCCACTGTGGCTTGTCTTCCCATCGCCCTAAGCATCCCTCCCCTGCCTACCTCCCTTCATCTCTTCCATCCGTGTGCAGGCAGTGGGAGGGCCCTGAGCATCTCTGACTTTACCAACTGCGTCTACAGCATCCTAATAGCTTCCTTGCCCATCTGTTAATTAGCCATCTTAAAAAAAAGAAGCCACACAGTCCCTCCCTCAGAATGGTCCTCATCTCCAAGACACTAATGAATCTACTTGGGGTGAGGAGGAAGGAACAGGTTTGGATGAGAGACAAGTAACAAGGAACAGAATGTCAAAAGGGGGCCAGCCTTCTTAGACCATGTCCTGGGCAGAGCCTGTGCCCCTGGAGAATACTGGCAGCCCTCTCTGAGCAGACTGACCCCCACCCTAACCCCTCCCCGAAATCAGTGGGTACCTGCTGTCCATCAGCTCCAGCCCTGGCCTGGGAAGTTTTTTAAAAGGGGAAGGTAGGAGTAGAGATCCTGGAGGAAAATAGAGCTCCAATTGGGAAAGGTAGGCTGTCTACATCCAGAGCTGGGCTCTGTCTCTGGTTCCCATTCAGTCCCTTTCTCTGCCCCAGGGTCCAGATAGCTGGATCTGATTTGGTACTCATCTGTTAGAATCACTGGTAGTTTCCCCTGCAGACACTGACTTCTCACGCAGAAATATGATTGCAAGGTCTAATCACTTCTGGAAAAGACAAAATCTGTTCTTCGCTGCAGGGGCCAGAGAGATATAAGAAAGTCCTGCTCTAAGGAATACATGTGCCAAGGAACACCCAGAACACCTAGGCTGAGGCAGATGCTGATCTCTTCTCTCACCCGCCTCTAAACTCCCTGCAAAAAAATCCCTTTCATTGAGGCTGTTCTCATTGAAACTCCCTCATTTAGACTTAGATTTGCTTACCCATGTACCATCTTCAGGGAGGATCACACACCAGAATTACTCTTCTTTTCCTTGCAGTAAGGAAATGTCTTTGTAGAATTATTTCAAATATGCAATTGAACGTACATCCCACTTTTCCCCTGGGCCTCTGACATTGTACATCCCCCCCCACCCCCTCCCCCGCCAACATCTCATTTTCCTTGGGGAAAACTCATTATGGTGTCAGTATTTATCTCCTTTTCCTCTCTCGAACCGTTTCCCTATCTCCATTCTCCAACAAGACAATCTGAACTCACATGCCTGTTCACACACACACACACACACACACACAAACACACACACACCCTCGAATGGCAAGCAGTGACCTCTGTGATACAAGCAGAGTAAAAGGAGCCCCACACTCCCACCCAGAGTAATGGAGCACTCACCCTGGCATGGCTGGAAAGAAGTGGTGGAGCTGGGATACTACTATGCCTGAGCTACCCAGAACTGAAAAATAAGTTTCCTTGGCCTGCCCAAGGTCACCCATGGAGTGTCCTAGATAGATCTCTTATGTCCTGTCCTCCTACTTGCTCACTGCCAACACATACACAGACAGACATTGCCCCCCATCCAGCAAGCACCAGTACAATGGTTTCCAAAGACTAATGGGGAGGAACTGCAGCTGCTGGAATAATTGCTGTGAACTGAATAAAATCAGGAGTGAACTTGAGGTGGAAACATTCCATATTTATGCAATGGTCTGGGAACTAAAATTTATGGCCCCTCCCATGGTTACCTCTCTTCCTCAACCCCAGAGAAAACCCGCCCCGAAGGGGTCCCAGTAATTACCCTAGTTTGGGATAAGAGATATCTGTATGGTGAGAAAAGGAGGAACATTAAGTGAGACAGTGACCTCTCCAGGATTGCATGCCAATGCAGGCATCCAAAGATGCTTCCCGCATCTGGGGACACCAACAGCATATCATCACAAGCAGTGATGAACAAACTGTATGAAGGGGCAGGGGCAGGGAACGGGCCAGCTTTCTCTAAGAGTACAGAGAACAATGACTCAAGGAAGAGGGGAAAGCCAAAGAAAGGTTTGTGGCAATAAATCAGGAAGAGGCCAGAGCCAGGGCAGAGGGTCTGATGAGATAGCACAGGAAGAAGAGAGAAGAGACAAGTTTCTGAGTCCTGAGGCAGAGGTGGATGAATGAGAAGAACCGGCACATCTGCTTCGGGAAGGCACCCGCCTGTGGGCGATTCCTTCTTGGCTTTCCAAGCAGAGCCAAGAGAGAGAATTCTTCACCAGATGAAAGGCAAAGGAAGAAGTGTCTTGCCTTCATTTTGCTCACTATCCCACGGATCCTCTGCATTTGAAAGTTGGGACTGACCACAGACCATTGCACAAGTCTCTGTTTAGTGTCATGCAGTCTAGGCACAGAGAGGATGCTGAGTAAATTTGCACTACCTGAGAGATAAGGTGCGGGAAGAAGAAAGGGCAGGGGCAACCTGGGGGCATGAGAGAGAGTTACAAACAACGTATGACCCTTCAGAGACCCCAACCCCCAATTCCAGCACTCAAGTTTCAAATACCCACATTTAGTGGATTTGACTCAATAAAACCTGCCAGGGAGTTATCATCTTTTCAAACACACCCACAGTAATAATAACAAATAACAACAACAATAATAGATCAGCTCTTTAAGCATGTCTTAAAAATTTCTATCTGCCTTCCCCTGTCTTCAGCAAAGTAAGGGTGATTAATGTCCACAATACTGAGCGGAGGTTTTCAGTGCACAAAGATAATGAGCAGAGTGCAGAAATAAACTAAAGGTGGATGGGTGAGGATGGAGTTTGATGAGCCAACTCAGAAGCAGTGGTCTGGGGAGTGGTCATGCTTACTAGGACAGTGCTCATACCATGTGCCAGAAATGGAGGATTTCCCTGGCAGGATTTTCAGGTTCCCTGAAAGGACTCTGTTGAACCGCATCTAGTCATCTATCTTGAGGGCACTGGAAACAGAGCTAACTTTGTGTCTGTGGTTCCTAAAGGAAGGGATGGGTCCTAGTTGTCCCCTTAGTTTTGACTTTCCATTAGGCTGGGAGCCAGAGTGGTGGGATGGGAGATGGTCAGAGTGGAATTATGGACTATCATGTTTTGAACTCCTGGCATAAGTTTTAGTAGGAGGCAACCCCATGAATGCTGTGAAAGATACCCCACCAGAATGAACGTGCAAGAACTGTTATAGAGTTCTGCCTACAGACTTGTCCTTTGGAGCTCTAAAACAGCCATCTGTGCATGGTCAACATGGAATGGAGAAACCTTTGTTCCTTCCACCCATGGGAGGCAGCCTTCCCACATCACCCTGTCTCTAGCATCCCACAGCATCCCAGTTTGCACTAAATCACTTGATATTCTTTTCAATGAGTCCCAACATTGGTTCATTACCTGTACTGAAGCTGACACTCTGTTCTGAGAGGAAAAAAACTAACTGCCATTAAGAACCTACACCCAAGTGCCCACATGCCATCAAAATAGAACCCTGGATCCCCATTCAGGATTACAGAATTCGTAAAATTCTTTTACTTGAACTTTACAGACTTCATCTATTCTCACTTTGCCTTGCAAACCCCCCTACCTCCAAAGCATGCATTCCGGTTCCTAGGACATGGAGAAGAGGTACAAGATCTAGTGCATGTGAAACAAGAGATGGTCAGAGTGACTTAGGATCAAGGGAGGTGTGAGTGCAGAGAACAAGGGAGACATATTAAGAGGAAGTGAGGTCGAGGAGAGTGGGGGAAGGCACCAGGCAGTGGCTCTCACCTGTGGATGTTCATCTCCCGCGGAGGGCGGTGGGCCTTATCATAGGAGACCTTAGCGAAGACTCCGGCCACGATGACGAAGGCAATCACCCCGCAAGTGATGTAGACGGTGAAGTTGGTCTTGTCCTTCTCGGGGTCATACTTGTTCTCGGGCCCTGGCGACACTACCTTGGTGCTGGGCGTCTGTACCCACACGGGGCTCTGGTAGTTGGTGCACTGGCGCTGGTCCAGCTTTTCGTGGCGCTTCTTGCAGCAGAAGCGGTAATAGCAGGTGCCGCAGCAGTACAGGTAACCGCTCTCGCTGTTGTTACATTCGAACTCCTTGTCGTACTGGCCGCTCACGTCGTAGTAGCCCCAGCACGTCTCGTAGGTGACTGTCGCGCTGGCCGCCGCCGCCGCCGCTACCGCCGCCGCGGGTTGTCCCCGCCGGCTCCCCGCCTCCGAGACTCCAGGCGCCCGGGCGGTGCCGTTCAGCTCGCGGCCGCCCCGGGCCAGGGCGCCCCCGGGCCGCCGGCCCCCGACGGCAGCGGCGCCGGAGCTCAGGGTCCGGTTGGCAGCGCGGCCGCGGGCGGCGTGAGCGCCGGACAGCAGGTCCAGGGACTCCAGCGAAAGCAGCAGCAGCAGCAGCAGGCTCCGCAGCGCCATGGCGGGGCCGGGCGGGAGGGCGCGGGGAGGCTTCCGCGGCAGGCCTCTACCCTGGCCGGCCGGGCTCCGAGGACGGCCACGCGGGCTGGGGTGGCGGCGCGGGGCGGTCAGCGACGCCGGGGCGATGTCGCCATCGAGGCGCGAGCGGCTGGCGGCGGCGGCGGCGGCGGTGGCGGCGCACCGTGCGCACGGACCGGCCGGGCGCGGGTTGCTCTGGGCTCTCACGCTGCGCGCCGGCTCGGCGCTTCCCCTGCGGGATCGGCGCGCCTCCGGGGCAGCCCCATCCCCCGCCGGCGGCGGCGGCGGCCCCGAGCGGCTGGGTTCAGGCAGGACCCGAAGCGCGGCTCCCAGCGGCAGCAGCGGCGTGGTCCCGTCCGGGCGGGTCCTGCGGGACAAGACGGGGAACCAGTCACGGGGTGGGGCGACGGGCGCTCCTGGAGGCAGGAGGGGAGCGGCGGGCAGGGAGGGAGCGCAGCGCGTAGCCCTCGAGGAGCTAGCTTAGGGCTGGGAGGGGCGCGGAACCCGTTTCCAAGACGGGGCTCGGTGCCCCTGCGCGCTGGGAACCGAGGGCGCACCGGCAGTCTTTCCAAGCACCTCGCAGCCGCCCTGGCCCCCAACCGTTCAGCCCCGCAGCGTGCTTCCGCCGCAGGCTGGCTTCCCGGGACGGAGCCCGCTGAGGTTGGGGTCTGGCCGGCAGCCGGGGGAGCGCGCGGCAGCTGGACCTCACTCACTCACCATGCCCGGCTGCGACTGCAGAGGCGGCGGCGGCGGCAGCAGTGAGGCGGGAGCGCAGCGGACGGAGACAGCGAGCGGAGCCGAGAGCCGCCGGCTCGCCGCCTGCACTAGTGCCGGAGCGTGTGCGAGAGGGAGCGAGGGAGACACACGCACTCACACACCCGCACACACGGGAGCGCCGCGAGGGGAGGGGAAGGGAGGAGAGGACAGCCGCTCGCCGCCGCCCACGTTTACACGCCTGGGCGCCCGGGTTGGAGGGGGTGGGAGGGTAAGACTCTTGTTTGCTTTTCCCGGCTCTGGGCACGAGAAGCTCCGCGTCAAACCCCCCCCCCCCCCAGGTAAATCAACACCGGGAACCAGGAGTGCTGAGGGGACCAGGAACAAGGCGAGAGTATCCCCTGTGGAGTGGCCCGCAGCAGGGCTAGACCATGGCCCTTCCAGCCCTCACAGTGGGTTCCTATTCTACCGGAGCCCCCAGCGCGTGCTACCAGAAAGGGAGTTGGGGTTTCTGCAAGTCTTTGCCTCTCCCTAGTGGTGATGTTTGCAGCCAAGAAAAGAGGTCAAACCCATTGCTACAGGTTCCGAAACTGAGGCGAGGGGTCTACTGACTTGCCCTAGATTATTACACCAACCAATCAGTCCGCGGAACCTGTACTCTTCCCCTTGAGTACCCTCCTTCAGCTCTCACATGGGTGCAAGATAGCTCCCGTGCTGAGTGGCACCTCTTATTCTCTCTTTCCCCAACTTTTTTTTTTTTTCAGCGTTGAGGCCGAGTAAGAAAAACTGTCTAAGTTTCTAAGTCTCATCTTTGAAATTCCTGTATCCATGTGTTGAAATTCCTATATTTTAGCTGATTTGTGTCCAGAGGGGTACACTCCTGTGCGTGGCCAGGTCTGTGGAGACCCATCTAACTTTCAAAACTATGAGGCCACTCCAAAAGGGAGTCACAAGGACAGTTTTTGTTTAGTGTCTTTGGAAGAGATGGGGGAAAATAAGGGGGAGGGGGGGGGAAGCAGTAGCTAAGGCCAAATTCTGCCTGCATGACCTGCTTGATTTGCTTAAAGGCAGTGGACAGACTGTCAGGGTGATGGCAATGGGGAATTTTTCCTGAAATTCTCCTTTCTGTCCCATTCATGTATGACCCAGGGATCCCCATTCAGGAAAAACAGAGGGTCTCTTCTCAACTGAGGGATTGACACATTGAAGCTGGGAACCAGATTCCAAGACAAGGGGGGAGATTCTCATCCTAGGAGGAAGGGATGCATGCACTACCTCTCCATTTCCCTCCCTTCTCCTCTGTACTTACTTTTATTCCCTCAATGCCATTTCTTCTTAATGTTCTGATCAACAAAAGTTTGTTCAGTGCCCACTCTCTGTCAGGCACTGTGGTAAGTGCTAAGATGAAGAATAAATAGGACACTACCATTTCTCTAGGACAGTGAACTTGTCCACTGGGGAGGCTGAAAATCAAAAGATTCCACATGGCATGGTTAATGTTCCAGACAAAGGGGGGTGCAGAGTATTCTGAGAACAGATGACAGGCACCTAGCCCCACCCTAGAAGGCAGAGATGCAGGGGTGCGTCAAAGACAACTTTCTCAGTGAGGTAAGGAACAGCATCTTGAAGAAAGATTTAAGAGTTGCCTGGTGGGGTGGCACACGCCTGTAATCCTAGCGGCTCAGGAGGCAGAGGCAGGAGGATCTCGAATTTAAAGCCAGCCTCAGCACAAGTGAGGCACTAAGCAACTCAGTGAAATGCTGTCTCTTAATAAAATACAAAATAGGTCTGGTGTCATGGCTCAGCGGTCAAGTGCCCCTGAGTTCAATCCCTGGTGTGCACTTGCTGGGCATGTGCACATGCACACACACACACACACACACACAAGGAGAGAGTTAATAAAACAAGAAAGGAAGGACACTACCAACAAAAAGAACAGGAAAATCCAGAAGTTATACAGTGTTAATGTAGCTGATAGGCAAATCAGTGGGTGTATGAGCTCCAATACAGTTTAGCATAAACCCTGAGGGACTCTTCCAAATAAGGCCAGCAGGAGGCTATTGTGTCCCTGACAAAGAACTTGAATTTATTCCACAATTGATGGGAAACTGTTGGTGGGTTTTAATTAGGGGAAGACACTATCAGAATTTCATGTTCCCTGGATCTCTAAGTCAAGTGAATAAGGAAACAGTAGACTGGATGCCGGAGAAGCAATTTGGACAGCTGTCCTAATAATCCAGGTAAGAAATAGGAAGAGTGTGAAATAGTTGTCTGGTAATTGGCACCATAGTGAAGATGGTAAGCAAGGTCAAAGGTGGAAGTTCAGGATAAAGTTAACATATCACTTATTCAAGTACCTTTGGGAGATGTGTGGAGCTGTCCAGGGCAAAAACTGAAATCTCAGGAGAGAATATAGTTATATAGGTAATCTTAAGAACATACTTGAAAAATAACAGCCCCATACTGTGTGTAATTTCTTTTTCTTTGGGGCGGGGTGCACTGGGGATGAAACTCAGGGGCACTTTACCACTGAGCCACATCCCCAGCCCTATTTTGTACTTTATTAGAGACAGGGTCTCACTGAGATGCTGAGCGCCTTGCTAAATTGCTGAGGCTGGCTTTGAACTTGTGATACTCCTGCCTCCTCCACCTCCCAAGCCCTGGGATGTACCACCACGCCCTGCCTATGTGTAATTTTTAACCGTTTTCATTCCTGTCTTCTTCCCTGAGTTTTCACATCCCCTTAATTATTCCAGAATTTGCTTTTCCATATCTAAGATCTCCATAGGAGTAGGCAGAAGAAACGAGTCAAATAGGATTTGAAATTGATTTGGTTTCTCAGACCACCCCCCCCCCGCCCCACCAACGAATCTGTTTTGAACCCCCATCCTCACAAATGGTGGTATCAATAGACTTACCGATAATAATAGTGTCTCAGGGTTGGATAGGATCTCAGGGGTTATTTATTCCAATCCATTTTGATGTACATTATTTTTTTTTAAATTAATACCTTCAGCTCTCCTGGTTTGCCCTTAGGGGTTGGCCAGGTTGCTGAGCACCCCCAACCAGGCATTCCTCTCTTTTCCCCTTCTATTTTCTAAATCTGAATTGTTGACAGTATCGAAGCATCCTTCCTTTGTGGATTTGATTCATTAAAAAGTGCCAGAGAAGAATTATCTTTCCAACACCTATGCCAACAACAGACAGCCCTGAGATTCAGAGAAAAGTGTTCCAATCCCTGGCTCTAAAAGGTAGATCCCAACTGGATTGAGCAGAGCATAATAATCCTATTTAATCATCAGCAGTGATTTTTTAAATAATAGTCATGTGATTCAGTTCTGGCCAATACTAAATGAGGGAAGTCTGTTGGGGGGAGTCTGGGGAAATTTTCCTTGCTTTTAAAAATAGTGACAATTCTTCTTCTTTTTAATTTTCTCTGGAAAATATGACCTGGGGGGAGGGCTGTAATTGAATGTTGACATTCAGTTTGATAACCATTACTGCTCTTCACTAAATAGCTTTGCCTTTCAGACATATAGTTGGATTGCTATTCTTGGTCCACTTGTGAGTGGAAGTGGCAAGTGACTAGTACTAGTCAATGAGTTGTAAGTAGGAAGTATGTGTGTTATTTCTGAAGCAGAGCACATAATTGCTTCTATAAGATACTCTAGAGTTCTCATTTCCTTCTGGCATGGTGATCAGCAATGTTCTGCATGGGAGTGGTTTTGTCAGCCTGGACAAAACCTTAACTAAGGAGTTCCTGAGAGCTTGTAAAAATAGTGCCCCACCTTAGATTGATGGAGATATATATATAATTTTTTTAAGACACTAAAGTCTGTTATTGCAGCACATCCTAACCCATACTGGCTTATACACTGAGGATAGCAGACAGAATGATGGAGTCAATTATGAAACTATGCTGTTCAGGGCCCTCCCAACTCTGATTTCCTAGTAATGTGAGACAATTAAATTTCCTTGTGATGAAGTCTGTCTGAATCCAGAGTTTCTCTTGCATGTAGCCAACTGCATATTTAATGGATGCATAATATATTTTCTGTCTCAATTCTGACTTTCTCTAGGGTATCTACCTAGCCATGCAACTTTGTACTAATCATTATCAGCACTGTGAGATCCAGTTTTTTCTATTATTGAGGGATGCCTAGTTTGGGGTGGTCAGCAACCTGGCCAACCCCAAAGGGCAATGATTCTATTAGATAATGGAGATCAAGGTATAGCGTTCCTGTGGGGCGGGTGGGGGGGTTGTCTCT